ATTTAAATAACAAAATATAAATATTATAGTTGATTTATTTAACATGTTCTCAATATAATGGCCTTGTTAATTGTCAATGTCAATGTCAAATGATATTTAACTATATTAACCAGACATCCTATCATTTCAAAATGCTGGTTTTCTCACTAAACCAATTTTATCATATTATACATGATTTAATAGTTTTCAATTTCATATATTTAGCGATAATTTATAGAAATATTAAATGAGTCATATAAATCTTAAAATTTATAGTTAAGTTTAAAAAACAGTTTTATTTTTGCATCAAAATATTATATTTTAAACGTAATAATAGTATAATTATAATTTGAAACTTTTTATTGATTAAACCTGTTTACACTCTAGCGGGACATTTACTAAATGAATCTACAAGGACAACAACATGCTAAAACCAATATGTATTATTTAATTCAAATTGTATATACAAATTGTATAACATAATAATTGCATTCATTGTATATCAATGCAATATAGTAATATAGAGATTATGAATGTAATGATAATGTTAAGTAAACATTTTGTGTTAAAAATACATAGGGGTTTTATGCACGTAGTGATTTATATGTAAAAATTATTTGTTGTCATAATTATAGCTTAAAGAGGATGTTAATGATTAATACGTAATAAAGTTTTGTAATCACGATATTATACACACAATTAATGACTCAAATTACTTATTAATTCCACGTTATTTCTTATATAAAAGGTTTGAAAAATATTAGTGAAATCATTTCTATGTACTGTAAAATTGTCAAAATAATTCAATTTGTAAGTGGAATTTATTATAGTGGTCATTATAATAGTTATATGATATTACAAGTTTTAAATTTATTATAAAATATAATTATTTAATTTTACTTAAGTAAGTAACTTTTATAACCGACAAATTAAATTTAATTAGAAAAATTTAAACAAATTATATTTCAAAATATTTATATTTTCGTACCTTACACATAAAATTAGAAATAATTATTTATTCAATTATGCTTAAATTATTTATAATATTATAATTTAATTATCAATGTGTTGAATAATTACAATTACTATGTAATACAAAGGACATATTTAATTTATTTACAGTATACAACTTAATTCATTTAGAACGATGTTATTTAACTAACAATTATTATTTATAAAATATAAGTTTTAACCTAGCTTATATTATTTTAACAATTAGGATAAATACCTAAAAATGGTGATATCGGACACTGCGTGCATCGATAACACGGTCTTTCGACTCCATTATAAGGCAACGATCATCGGCTTAACAGTTGCCGCCATAATCGTCTCGTCCCTACACTTGTTTGGGTATACTATACACTGTATGGGTAAGGATGACATACCCGGGGATGTAATGAATGCCCAATGTTGGCTTAGGTCCACGTTTAAGTTGCCTGTTGATATTAATAATCAGCTCAATAATCGAAAATTGCCAGACAATACCTACAAATCGTACTATCAGTGGGTGTGGCTATTATTGTTTGTGCAGGCTATTTTGTTTTACATACCACGTTTTATATGGCGAATGTGGGAAGGTGGTTTGTGTAGTAAATTAACCACGGGCCTCGACGATCCACTAATTAAAGATGTTGATAAGCAAGATAAAATTGCGCGATTAGTCAAATACATTTATTCTCATATGAACAAGCACAATATTTACTTTATTGGCTATGTAATATGCGAAGTACTAAATTTTGTGAATGTGGTTGGTCAGTTAGTTTTTATTGATAAGTTTATGGGCAAAACTGGTTTTAAAATGTTCAAGAACACCTTGATGGATCAGGAAATGAGGGATGATACATTAATCTCTGTGTTTCCAAGGTTAGTAGTAAAAATGTAGTATTAATTTTTATTTATTTTATAATGATTAATTTTTTTAATACCCAGAACAATTCGTTGTATATTTCATAAGTTGGGAGTTTCTGGTGACGTTCAAAAGCATTCCTTACTTTGTGTACTGCCCCTGAACTCGGTCAGTGAAAGAATTTATATTGCTTTATGGTTGTGGTTGGTGATTTTAGTCGTTATTTCTGGGATCACTCTAATCTACCGGTGCTTTACCCTAATTTTACCGAAAATACGTGTAACTATTATGAAATACAAGGTCGATTTCGATGACCCGACACTTTTGAGACACGTGTTGGACATATCCAACGTTGGTGACTGGTTTCTATTATACCAATTAAGCAAGAACATCACTCATGAACATTTTAAAGAATTGATGACAGAGTTATCTAGGAATATTATTGGAAATCAACAAGGTACGAATTCTCATTATTTTAAAATGGAATCAATCAAGAATACTGAACAGTCCCAAGATACTGGGTTAGGTCAAACATTTTAATTTTAATTTTAAAATAATTTGTATAAAATATAATTTAAATTAAATGTTATATTTTATAATATAATTATATCATTGTACTAAAATAATTGAAATTAATTTTAAAATAAAATTTAAAAAAATGATATAATCCACACTGATAATGTTATTTTTAATAATTTTAAATTAAATATATTAAATTAATGGTGTGTTGTCCTGAGTTATAGATCGGTTTATTGGTCAGATTGTGGCTTATTTACCACATTTATTAATGAGAAAATTGAATACTACCTTGATATACAATGCTATAACGATCTAAATATTTTCGATTGTAAATTGTTGCTGATAGTTAAATAAAACTTAAATAACGGATTTATTTTACCATTATATATTTTTATTTGTTAAATAATCATATTTTTAATTCAATATTAATGTTAAATAAACATTTATAATATAAGATTAAATAGAAGTATTATTTTTACTCACAATTGGATAATCTATTATATGATTTGTGTATTGATTACAGTTTACATTTTGTGATACTTAATTCACTATAGCATAATCTCACCAAATTATTAATTTAGGAATTTGATGTTTGTACAATTTATATCAAATTGGGTAGGTTAAGGTTTATTTATTTGAATGATTGTTAAATTATCTTTTATAAAAATATTAAAATATATATTGAGTATTTTCTTGAAATGATATACAAATATAATCTTTGATTAATATTTAATAGGGTATTATGATAATCAATATATTTTTGTGTCAAGTGAATTTTAGAAAATTTATGTAATACTAAAATATTTTTAAATTTTAATTTATTTACAACCTACAAATTACCATGAACTATTTCATTTTATTAAAGGTGATGCATTATTTAAAAACAAAATATAAATATTATAGAGAATTGATTTAACTATTTCTCAATATAATGGCCTTGTTAATTGTCAATGTCAATGTCAAAAGATATTTAATTAATACCCAGACATCCTATAATTTCAAAATGCTGTTAATCTTACTATACAAATTTTATCAAAATGATCATGTTATGATAATTAATATTTTTAAATTGCACGCTATAAATTTATAATTTATAGAAATATTAAATGAGTCAGATAAATCTAAAAAATTATATGTTGTATTAATAATTAATTATTGCTTAAAGTGGATGCCAATGATTAATACGTGAAAAAGTTTTGTAATTAAGTTATTACATACACATTGAATGACACAAATTATGTATTCATTTCACGTTATTTCTTATATATAAAGTTTGAGATGTTTTTTTGAAAACATTTCTATAAACTGTATAATTGTTAAAAATAATTCAATTTGTAATAGAAAATTTTGTTTGAAGTTATTTTACTTGATAAAAGTAGTCTGCAAATATAATAATTTAATTTTACTTAAGTAAGTAACTTTTACAATATACATAGTACATGTAATATGAAAAATAAACCAATAATACTTTAAAATATTTATTTTTAGTACCTTACGCATAAGATTAGAAATAATAATTATTAAATTATATCAAAATCATTTAAAATATTATAGTTTAAGTATCATTGTGCTGAATAATGGCATTTATTATGTAATGCAATGGACATACTTAATTTATTTAATGTATACAACTTAATTCATTTGAATGATGCTATTTAACATTAATAATAAAAATTAAGTTTTAATCTTACTTAAATTATTTTAACAATTAGGATAAATACCTAAAATGGTGGCTAAACTATTTAAACCGATCGTACGCCTGGCCTTATCGGACACTGCGTGCATCGATAACCCCGTGTTTCGACTCCACTATAAGGCAACGATCATCGGCTTAACCGTTGCCGCCATAATCGTCTCGTCCGTACACTTCTTTGGGGATACCATACACTGTATGGACCGGGATGACACACCCAGGGACGTATTGAATGCCCAATGTTGGCTTAGGTCAACGTTTAAGTTAAATATTCATATCAATAACATGGTCACTGATCGAAACTTGCCAGACAATACTTACCAATCGTACTATCAGTGGGTGTGGCTATTATTGTTTGTGCAAGCTATTTTCTTTTACACACCACGTTTTTTATGGCGAAAGTGGGAAGGTGGTTTATGTAATAAATTAACCTCGGGTCTCGACGATCCATTAATTAAAGCTGTTGATAAGCAGGATAAAGTTGCGCACTTAGCCAACTACCTTTATTTACAAATGAACAAGCACAATACGTACTTTATTGGCTATGTAGTATGCGAAGCACTAAACTTTGCAAATGTGGTTTGTCAGTTATGTTTTATTGATAAGTTTATGGGCAACAAAGGTTTTGAAATGTTCAAGAACACCTTGATGGATCAGGAAATGAGGGATGATACATTAATATCTGTGTTTCCAAGGTTAGTAGTAAAAATGTCATATTAATTTGTATTTATATTAAATCTTTAATACCCAGAACAATTCACTGTACATTTTATAAGTATGGACATTCTGGTGACGTTCAACGGAATTCCGTATTTTGTGTACTGCCCCTGAACTCGGTCAATGAAAAAATTTATATTATTATATGGTTGTGGTTGCTGATTTTAGTGGTTATTTCTGGGATTACTCTAATCTACCGGTGCTTTACTGTAATTGTACCGAAAATTCGTGTTACTATTATGAAATACAAGGTCGACTTCGATGACCCGACACATTTGAAATACGTGTTAGACATATCAAAAGTTGGTGACTGGTTTTTATTATACCAATTAAGCAGGAACATTACTCATGAACATTTTAAAGAATTGATGACAGAGTTATCTAGAAAGATTATTGGAAATCAACAAGGTACGAATTCTCATTATTTTAAAATGAAATCCATCAAGAATACTGAACAGTCCCAAGATACTGAGTCAGGTGAAAGATTTTAATTTTATTTTTTAATAATTTGTATAAAATATAATTTAAATTAAATGTTATATTTTATAGTATTTTATAGTATGATCATTTAAAGTATCATTAGTACAATATAAATTAAATACACATCTGTACCAGTAATCATTTTACAGTTTATTAAATATCTAATTTTATGATAAACATAAAATAAAAATTATATAACAGGTGTCGGGCGAATAGCGCCGGATTTGAAATTGCGATTACTTAAAAACTACAAATGATATTTTAAATTAGTAAATGGGAGACTAATAATAAATATATGGGAGTACTTTCAAACTTTTGAAGTAATTCGGAGAATATGCAATATTTCTTAAATCTGATTAAAGGACTGAATTCCCTCAAAAATTATCACAAATACAATTAATAACAAAATCCCATATATTTCTTAATATTCCGCATATGACTAGATTATAATATCATTTGTAGTTTTAAATTAATCGCATTTTAAAATCATGCGTTATTCCCGAAATATACCCTAAGGGACATGTCTAGGTCAAGTGGATTTAAAAATAAACTAAAATCAAACAGACTAGTTAGCAGTTTACATAGGATGGTCAATAAAAAGTTTAATAAAACTTCGTTTGAAACGAACACATCAATGCCTAACAATTTTTAAATTAAAAATCACTGAATATTAAATATCGTGTTAATTTTATTTGAAACGCTATATTATTTCAAGTAAAATATATTTAATATTATAATTAACCTTAAAATAAATAATCAATAATTTCAAAAAATAATATAAAAATACACTTTTTAATTTATACAGTATTTAATATGTTATAATAATTAAAAATACAATTCAAGTACAGTTAATTGTGTTATATACAAACAACAGTAATGTGCTTATTACCCTAATGCTATAATAAATTTATATAATTAGTTAATTATTATTTTAAATATCTAATACAATGATTATATAATTTTGCTAATTAGGTTTTTAATTTTTAATATATTTTAAGTTTTTATTTTTTAAAATTATTGATTTTAAAAACTTTTGTATTATTATTCTCATTAAGGTCAGAATATGAATTTTTACTTATCATTAATAAAAACTATAAAATAAACTCAAAATAAATGGAAAACAGATCACTTTATATTGATTATATCAAAAGTTTTGGCTAATCACAATAAGATTGCTATGGTGATTAGTTAAACGTTTTTACTTTTTCATTAGTATACTATAAATTAATATGTTTTCAAACTTATCATTAAACATTGCTAATCATTAAACAAACATATATTAGTTATTATGTTCAAGTAAAAATAACTTGACAATGCAATCAATTACTAATTATGTGCGAAATAAACTTCGTACACATTTCATTGACAAAACCGACCTTGATTTTAACTCATTTGAAATAATCGACACATTTCTCAATAGGTATGTCATATTAGCCGTAACTTTTGAGGACTACGCGAATGGCGATTATATACCGCGCTATCAATCGCGACAACTACTGGCCCGTGGATTACTCCTGACGGTAGGGGTCAGATATGGCATATCAGCCATTATTAACACGTCATATACGAGGGCCATATTTTGCGACGCAAACTATTTAATAAGTCACCCGAGACTCATGTCCATTATGTGTAGTGTGGCGGCGCTTTGCATACTATACATTGGTACTATTACACAATGGGTACAAAATAGGCGTCAGTTATATATTTTTAATTTTGTGGTCGATGTCCACCGCCATCAGGTATCGCCACCGTTGAGTCGACGTAATTACCGAAGATTTTTGATAAAACAAAATTTGTTTGCCAAACATATTTTGCGACAACTGTTTTGGTTGACGGTATTGACGACAAATGGTGCCCAATATTGGGCTTCGGTTATGGCTTATTTGGATCCCGACTCGGGGTTTACTTTGTTTGGTAAGTCTAATGGCAAGGGAGCGCCACTATAGTTATGCTTAATACAATACCGTATTGCTATATAAGAATGCTAAATTTGATTGTAGCATATTATCTAAGTGCTAAGATACAGATATTTTTTATTTAATTAATTAAATTTTTAAATAACCATAACAAGTATAATGAATTTACATTAATAAGTGGCGCAACCTTTCCCTTTAACAATATAATAGGTGTGGTATTTTGGGGCGTAGGTCTAACAGCCTGGTTGATACAAATGTATGGCATGATTTTTCTTGGTTATTTCGCTATATACATGACCACTAATTATCTAAAATACAAATTCGCCGAAATTAACATGGACATTCGTATGGCTATTAAACTTCGAAGCAATACGTTGTTAATGAGAGCGATTAATCAGCATAACGTGGTCGCCATAATGACCAATAAGTTTAACATGTATTACAAATACTTACTATTTGCGGTCTACTATTTCGGAACGCCTGCCATTGAAATACTATTGTATTTAACGTTCGCGAAGGGGACCAAACAAATGGCGTTCCGATTTGCGGCCGCATTTCTATTCACCACAATGTTTGGCGTAGTATTTCTGGTCAACTACCTGTCCACTCGAATCAGTAGCGCCGCCCATAAGTCCATTGATATTCTGTATTTGCATATGAATTGCTGCACACTTTCACTGAGACATCGGTTAAGGGTTTTGGTGTTCTTCTCCAGGTTAGACAAACACTTAATCGGGTTCTCTATTCACGACTTATTCCGTATGTCTTCACTTGAGTTCGCTTTCTATGTTTACGCCGTTGTCTCCAATTATATGCTTATTATTAATATGTTTACATAATTGTGATGTTGATGTAAATTATTTTATTTTATTGTCATTTATGTTAATGTATTATATTATGTAATAAATAATTTGGTTAATCTCAATAAAATTGTTCTGGTTATCATATAAAGTTTTATTAGGACAATAATATTAGGACAATTATATAAAATATAAAATTATACTCGTACCCTTTCTAAATCATTGACTTTACATTTTTAATAGTCATAGGTAAATTACTTATAAATAAGACCAGGAAAAATAATTATTAAATAATGTTTAAAAAGTATTTATCTAAACTAAAATTTGGGGGCAATTAACTTATTTGATTTAAAGCTATAAAATTCGGCAAGTTATAATAACATTAAACTATTATAATATAATATTATAAAACTATTCATAAATTATTACATTAGGATTAATGTAAAGTTTCAAATGCAGTAAAAAATGTTACATTTGTAATGAGAGATAATGAGTTTAAAAATTGTATAAACAATATATTGGGGAATTAATATAAATATAATTTTAATGAAACTATTAACATACAGTATTTTCAATGTTATATAATATTACACATATTTGTGTGACTTATGAAAATACACAATAAATTATAACAGTAATATTAGACCAATTGTTTGAAAGTTAAATGCAATGATCGGGTTATTTATATGTTAATGAAATGCTTTTAATTTGAAATATTTATGTATTGTGTATGTTGTATAATAACTCCATTACGTGCAACTATGTAACAATTATTTACTTACTTTATTGTACTTTTGCTAAATTATTTATAATAATATATTTACAATGATGTATCATAATATGTACCAATGCATATTAAAATTTATCTTAAAATAAATAAAGAATAATTTCTAAAAATAATATAAAAATACACTTTTTAATTTATATATTATTCACTAGTATTATATCAATACAACATAAATTAAATACACTATACTCGTACAAAACATTTTTTAACTTAATGTTTTTATAATTATAAAATTATTTAATTTAAAGCTATAAAAATCAGCACTTTGTAATAATATTACTATAATATTTTTAGTTTAATATTTAGTATATTTAATATTTTAGTTTAGTTTATTAAACTATTTATAATTCATTACATTAGGATTAATATAAAGTTTTAAATGCAGTAAAAAATGTTTTATTTGTAATAAGAGATAATGAGTCTAAAGATTGTATATACGATATATTTAGCAATTAATATAAATATAATATTAAGGAAACTATTAACATATTTTCAATGTTATATAATATTACACATATTTATGTGACTCATGTAAACAGTAATATTTCACCAATTGTTTGAATGTTAAATGCAATGATCGCAATATTTATATTTAAATGAAACGTTTTAATTTAAAAATATTTATTCATTGTGTATGTTGCATATAACTTCATTACATACGAGTGTGCAACTCATTCATTTGATTACAAATTTATTGTGCTTTTGCTAAATTATATAAAATAATATATTTTCAATCATGTGTGATAATATGTACCAATGTATAAAATGGTTGGACCCAGTGGAAATCACAATATCAGAAGTTTGTTCATTTATTTGTATTTAATAATAATTATAACTATATAAAACTACTACCATTAATAAATATTATTTAACTTATAATATACAATTTGTGCATGATTCATTTATTATTATTTTTTGCTGGACAGGTATTAGGGAACGGCTCATTTGGAGTGGTTCGGAAAGGGGTGTGGGAGGGACGGGAAGTAGCCGTTAAGATCATAAAGAGCGATGAACAGGTTGAGTTGAGACAATTGTCCAGGTTAGACCACGTAAATATTGTCACGCTGTACGCATCGGCACGGGTCAAAAACTGCCTTTGGCTGGTCATGGAGTTGGCTGAGGATTGTCTATATAGTTGTATGTAATCATCATAAATATTCATGCTATATTAAATATAATAAATATAGTATATACTATATTTATTATATTTATGTTTTTTCGTTTGTCTAGTTTTACATAAAACTGAACCCCCGGTGCCCTACAGTATTTTGGAAGCCATTTCATGGGTACATCAGTGCGCGAGTGGTGTCGCATACCTGCACTCAATGCAACCCAAAGCTATACTCCACAGAGACCTCAAGTCACCCAAGTATTCAAACATTTTTAATTCTAAAATAAAAAATAATTTTTAAAAATTAATTACAGTTTACTGCTATATAAACATCATACGATATTTAAAATTTGCGATTTTGGAAATTCGTGTGAAATGCATACGATTATGACTAAAGAGAAGGTAGTCAATTATAATTAAGGTTTTAATTTGATTTTTTTATTCACTATAAATACACTTTATTAGATACATTTTGCTAAATATTGTTTATATTTAAAGCAATTACGATATCTGTTAGGACTACACAAATCCAGTACATTTACCCATCATTTATATTGCGGTTCAGTATTGTTTGACATAATAACAGTCATACAAACCGTACTGTATTTAAAAAGTTACATTAATGCACATTTAAATCCTGCTT